GGTCTCTTTAGTTAATGTCAAAGTATTGGAGCGAGTGGGTGTTGGGGTTGGGGGGAGACAGTATTGTCTGTGGGGAGGAGGGGGTGGGGGGGGGAGAAATCAGCCGCTACAGGAAACAGATGCTCTCTAGAGGTTCTACCCATTGACTGAAGGGTCCCATCCATTACTCCTTGCTTTCTGTAACCCTTTCTCTCCTTTTATGTTCACATTTGCTCAGCGCTGATGTGATTCAAGCGCTCTGAGAACCTGCCCCGCGTGAAGGCTGCTATACAAATGCAAGTTGTTGTTGTTGATTTGACTCTGGTGCTTCTGCTCGCCTTGTGAATGCATTGGCTCACCCACCAAATACACAGTCACCACACCTTGCAGTAAATCCCATGAAACACTTTCAACAACAACAAGATTTGATTTATAGAGCGCCTTTCACGTCGGGAGGACGTCCCAAGGCGCTGTACAGTTGGGTCAGGACCCGAGCAGGGGGGGAATGGTCAGGGTGAGGGGAGGGAAGGGAGGGAGCGAGGAGGGGGTAGGATAAGGCGCTGTATCAAATGCAGGCGCTGTATTTTGATATGTCATAGCACCTTATCGTGTTATCGAGATGTCTCGCAGGATTTTATCCAAAGTGTAGTAACTGTGTCTTTACCCCATATCAACCTGTCCGCTTCCTCCGCTCAGCAGGCTGTGGCCTACTCCACATCTCCCACCCGGCCCGGCCCCGCTATCGAGGGTTGGGCCTTCAACCTCTCTGTCCTCACCCTTTGGAGCTCCGTCCCACAGTCCCTTCACCTCCCTACCTCACTTGTCTCCTTCCAGATACATCTCCAGACCCTCTTTTTTGACCGTACCTTCGGTCACCCTCCCTGCCCTCCACCCTCCCAGATCCCAAGCCCCATGCTCGGGTCCAAATCCCTGACAGTCCAGTGCCTTTGGACGTACTCCAGACGTGAAAGTAAATGTGTAAATGTAATTCTGTATTGTATTGTAAACCTGTACTGTTTGTCACTCAGAGATCTGCCTGACAAGCTTCTTGCTGTTTGTCCAGCTTGGACCACCCAACCCATTAGGGCTTTTGCTTGCACGGTTCACAGAAGCTGAGTGGTAAGAATCCCTGTCCCTAGTGAATGCTCTGCTCTTCCAGGTCCTTGTGCTCTCATTTTTATTTGGACAGCCGGGTGTCTGACACATGTGGAAATCCATCACCATGCTTAAGAGCCAAAGCAAATCTGTCATCAGCAGTGCTCTGGAGTCCTGCAGACCTGCCTGACTCAGGAAACAGAAATGGAAGAGGGTGAAGCAGCCAACGAGCAGGAAACTTAAGAACAATTTACATAATTTTATGTTGAATTGAAGTACCTCTCTTACTTAATGACTGCAACTATAAGCTGCACAATGAAGGGAATCATGAGAAAATCAAACATTTCCCCGTTGCACTATTTATTGATAGCAACCATCACTAACTAAGGAGAACCATTAGGGACATATCAATACGTTTTGGTCTATTTGCCACAAGATGAATGGGTAAGCTTTGCTGAGTATTCCCGGCTATGACTAACTTTTTCTGATCGTTCAATGGGTTTTAAACTATGACAGCAGCGCTGTGAGCCTCTGATTCTCAAAAACTAATAATAACAATTTGGTCACTCAATCCAAATTATTTGTGGGACACTGCTATCCACAATTGGCTGCCGCATTTGGCCCACAAAATAAACAGTCACTCCAGTTTACAGTATATCCTGTGAAGCACTTTGAGACGTCTCAACGACGTGATGAGGCGCTATATCAAATGCAAGGATTGTTATTATTTTAACATTGAATTGCTCAATGCCATTGTCAGGCTGCCTTGCAGTGGAGTGTTTCCAGACGTTTCCTCCGAGGAGGGAGAGAGCAGGAAGCCAAGGCAGGCGATTCTGAGAAAAGAAAGCAAACCTCTCTATTTCCCGTCCAGAGCTATAACCGAATTCAACACTTTAACCGAAATAAACTTGCGTCATTCGCTTCACTCGTGTCTGTGGGCACGTCAATGTGCACAAGTTGGCTGGTTGCCAGGACCAAATCCTTGACTGTCCAGTGCATTGGGGCGTCCTCCCTGCGTGAAAGGCGCCGCGTAAATGAAACCCGTTGTTGTTGTTGTTGTTCGCTCGCAGAACACACAGTCACCACACTTCACGGCGAATCCCGTGAAGCGCTTTGATACGTCGACAGGCGCTGTGTCAAACGTAGGGCTGTGGTGGTTTTTTTACACACGGAAATAATCCACTCTGAATAAACTACGAAGCATAAATAAATAGACTTGGAATTGGTGGGAGTGAGGTGTGTGGGGGGGGGGGGGGGGGGGCGGGGCTGCGGCGAGGGGGCGGGGCTGCGGGGCCTGGGGGCGGGGCCTTGGTTGACGCACGACGCACGCCGTGGCGGCGGAACGCACGCAGGGAGCGGCGTTGCTAGGAGACGGAGGGGACGCGCTGCTCTTGCGGTGAAGCCCTCCGCAGAGACCGAGCGCCCCCCAGGGCGGCCCTGACATCCGCACAGACATGGCTGAGGTAAGAGAGGCTCCTGCAGAGGAGGGGAAGCGCCCCCTCAGGCCTCCCCCCCCCAAAAAAAAAAACAAAACAAAACTGGGTAATGTTTACACCTCACCCACCCCCCCCCACACCCCCACACCTCCCCACACCCTCCCACACCCCACACCCTCCCCACCCCCCCCCCACCCCCCCCCACACCCCTCACTCACACCCCCCCCCACACCCCCTCCCCCCCTCCCCCCCACACCCCCTCACTCACACCCCCCCCCTCCCCCCACACCCCCTCACTCACACCCCCCCCCATCCCTCACACCCCCCCCACACCCCTCCCCACCCCCCCCCCCACACCCCCTCACTCACACCCCCCCCATCCCTCACACCCCCCCCACACCCTCCCCACCCCCCCCCCCCCCCCCCCACACCCCCTAACTCACACCCCCCCCACACCCCCTCACTCACACCCCCCCCACACCCCCTCACTCACACCCTCCCCCATCCCTCACACCCCCCCACACCCTCCCACCCCCCCCCCCACACCCCCTCACTCACACCCCCCCCACACCCCCCCTCCCCCCCTCCCCCCCACACCCCCTCACTCACACCCTCCCCCCCTCCCCCCCCCCACACCCCTCACTCACACCCCTCCCCCCATCCCTCACACCCCCCCCCACACCCTCCCACCCCCCCCACACCCCCTCACTCACACCCCCCCCCCATCCCTCACACCCCCCCCCACACCCTCCCCACCCCCCCCCACACCCCCTACTCACACCCCCCCCACACCCCTCACTCACACCCCCCCCCACACCCCCTCACTCACACCCTCTCCACCCCCCCCCACACCCCTCACTCACACCCTCTCCACCCCCCCCACACCCCTCACTCACACCCTCTCCACCCCCCCCACACCCCCTCACTCACACCCTCCCACCCCCCCCCCACACCCCCTCACTCACACCCCCCCCCCACACCCCCTCACTCACACCCTCTCCACCCCCCCCACACCCCCTCACTCACACCCTCTCCACCCCCCCCACACCCCCTCACTCACACCCTCTCCACCCCCCCCACACCCCCTCACTCACACCCTCTCCACCCCCCCCCACACCCCCTCACTCACACCCTCCCCACCCTCACACCACCCTCACTCACACCCTCTCCACCCCCCCCACACCCCCTCACTCACACCCTCTCCACCCCCCCACACCCCCTCACTCACACCCTCTCCACCCCCCACACATCCCCTCACTCACACCCTCCCCCACCCCCCCCACACCCCCTCACTCACACCCTCCCACCCCCACCCTCACACCCACCCTCACACACTCTCCCCACTCCCCTCACACACTCACTCACTCACTCTCTCCACCCCCACCCTCCCCACATACCCTCCCCACACCCCTCACACACACCCTCACACACTCTCCCCACTCCCCTCACTCACTCACTCTCTCCACCCCACCCCCCTCCCCACATACCCTCCCCACACCCCCTCACACACACCCTCACACACTCTCCCCACTCCCCTCCCTCCCTCACTCACTCACTCTCTCTCTCCACCTACCCCCTCCCCACATACCCTCCCCACCCCCCTCACACTCACCCTCACACACTCTCCCCACTCCCCTCACTCACCCCCTCCCCACATACCCTCCCCACCCCCCTCACACTCACCCTCACACACTCACTCACTCACTCTCTCCACCCCACCTCCCCACATACCCTCCCTACCCCCCTCACACACACACACTCTCCCCACTCCCCTCACACACACTCGCGCACTCTCACACACTCACCCCACTCATACACATCACCTAATACTCACACCTCACCCTCTCACGCCCTCCCCCCAACCCCCCACGTACTCTCCCCACCCACCCAGACGAGAAACTGTCACAGACGGCTGGCTCGGTTCCGACTTTCCGTTGCCACCATTGGGGACGTGGCTGTGCACAAATTGGCTGCCACGTTTGCCTACAAAATACACAGTCGCTGCTCTATTATAGTAAATCCTGTGAAGCCCTTAAGGATGTCTCGACAATGAGATAAAGACCAACATCAAATGCAAAGATTATTCTTCACGCTGCTTCTACAAACGAGCCCAACCGGGGGCTACGTTTCCAAAGTACCCACTCATGTTCGCGCGTTCACCTCACAAGCGAGAGGACCCAGGTTTGTTTCCCGTAGGCATGTTTCCTTATTCCACACACCTCTGTTTACCTAGCGGTAAGTAGGAACCCGGTTGGTGGATCGCTTTCCGGGGATTAATAACCCCTCGAATTTTTTTAAAAAAAATTGGTCACTCAATCCAAGATGTTTATGGTCACTGCTGCGTGCAATTGGATGCCACATTTCTCCCACAAAATACAGTAAATCTACTTTACAATATATTCTGTGAAGTGCTTTGGGTCGTCTCAACAACATGATAAGCGCTATATAAATTGCAAGGATTATATTTATGTTTTAAGCCACTGACAAGTTATGTTACAGGAAAAGGAGAAAGGAAATGTGGAAGAAAATGCCTTTGAGGCCTTGGAGAAGGACTTCCAGGAGGTTCTCAATGAGCTCATGGGCGACAAGAGTCTGGAGAGATTCCGTATTGAGTATGAAAAGCTGCACCGCGCCCTTAAGAAATCGCATGATAATGAGAAGCGCTTGATGACGAGGTGCCGAGAGCTAAATGCTGAGATTGTCACCAATTCAGTCAAAGTGTCCACCGCTTTGAAGCTCTCTCAAGATGACCAGTCAACGATCACCACCTTAAAGCAGGTCAGCCTGGGGCCTGGGCTACAGGGGAGGGTTAAGGAGAAGAGAGGCTGAGAAAGTGAGTGACGGAGGGAGAGAGAGACTAGGAGAGGAAGAATGGTGGGGGCATAACAACAACAACTTGCATTTATACAGCATCCTTCACGTGTCTCAGAGCACTTAACAGTGGTGGAGCCTGACGCCGAGCTGTGGGTGGAGGGAGGAGGTGACTGTAAGCACAATCGAAGAGAAAGATCTTCAGTCATGATTTAAAAGAGGGGAAGTGAGGGGGCAAAGCAAAGGGATTGAGGGAGAGGGTTCCAAAGCTTTGGGGTGTAGTGGCTGAAAGCACATCCGCTGATGGTGGAGCGGAGGGGACGAGGGAGGCCAGAGCCAGCCGAGCTGAGGCAACGGGTAATGGAGTGGGGGGGGGGAAAAAGCAGGATGGAGAGGCAGGGAGGTGCCAGGATGTGAAGGGAGAGAATAAAAATGAGCGAAACGAGTAGGAATGAACATGCGTGGGGCTGCTCCCCTGATGGGAAGTATTTCTTTCACAACCAGGAGATTGAGAAGGCTTGGAAGATGGTGGACGCGGCTCATGACCAGGAGAAGCGAGGGAAGGAGACCATTCACAGTCTGAAGGAGGAGATCGCCAAGCTCACCAGGCTGGTGGAGCAAGGAGCTGGCCTGTCCTTGGGTCAGGAAAGCGGGTTGGTTCATGCCTCATCAGTTTCTTCCTACCTGTAATCATCTCCAGCCTCAATCTCCGGCTTGTTCCTCCCCACCCAGCCCCCACCCCCCGCCCAGGCTGGCCTGCTAATGGCTCCTCTTCCCCCCTCACCCCACTATCGACAAACACCCCTTACAGCCACACTGCCCTTACCCTCTGGCACTCTCTGTCCCTCCAATTTGCAACCTTCCTTCTCCAGTCTGTCCGTAAACGTTTCCTGAAAACCCCCTATCCTCTGTGACCTGCCCACAGCCTCCTCTCCTTCTGCCCTCAAGCAGTGGACAGAGATGCAGAATAAGGACATTGTTGGTTCAAATTCTGGTCTGTGCTGAGTTTGTTGGTCTCAAGCTGGGCTGTGTTTGGGGAGGCTTAATTGTGCTCTGGCTTCCCAGAGTTAAGAAGAAAAGTGGGAGAGAAACAGAAAGTATGTGACGGAGGGAGTGAGTGAGGAGAGGGAGGGAGTGAAGAGAGAGAGGGAGGGAGAGAGGGAGTGAGTGCAGAGCAAATGAGAAGAGAGAGTAAACGAGGAGAGAGTGAGTGAGGAGATAGGAAGGGAGGGAGGAGTGAGTGAGGAGAGAGGGAGTGAGTGAGGAGAGAGAGAGAGTGAGTGTGAGGAGAAATAGAGAAAGTGAATCAGGAGAGAGAGAGTGAATGAAGAGAGAGGGAAGGAGGAGAGGGAGAGAGGAGAGGGTGGAATAAGTGATGAGAGGAGAAAGAGAGTAAGTGATGGAGGGAAGAAGAGAGGAGAGAGATAATAAGCGGAGAGAGCGAGAGATTGTGTGAGGAGGGAGGAGAGAGTGTGAGGAGGGAGATAGGAAGAGTGTTAGGAGGCAAAGAGGGAGAAAGAAGAAATGAAATCAGGTAGAACTCAAGGAATAAGAGCGACATTGAGTGAGAAGGTTGCGGGAACCTTTGCTCTCTGAAAGCTGTAGTATTAACTTGCAATTACAGTGTGAATGAGGGAGGGGCTGGAGAGAGCCTTGTGGTTTAATGGCTGCGATTAGGTCAGGTTCCTCCCCTCTCCTCACTCGTTCAGCAGCAATCAATATCACTCTGACGGACAGCCTCTCACATTAATCACTTCTGATTAGAGCTACCCTCTGCCTGATTGATGGGCAAGAGGACAGACAGACAGATAGGCAGGCAGGTGGGGGGGGTTCTGAATTGGGAGAAGGTGTCAGGAGCTGGCCTGTCTCTGGTGTAGAGAGCTGTGGCTGGGAAGCAAGGAGAATGTGGGAAGTTGATTTAAAATGGTGAATTGTTTCCCCCTGCAATGCGCTGGGCCTGTGTCCGGTGACAGAGTGGACGGAATGCTACAAGCCAAAGACGAACTGGTGAAGGAGAGGGATGAGCTATACTTGGAGATCACGGTCCTGCGTAACCAGCTGGCAGACCTGACCACACAACAGCATGAAGCTGAGCACGCCAAGGAGGAGGCTGACCAGAGCATATCCCAGGTAAAGGGGCGCCTGGGAGTGGGGTCGAGAGTGGGTTTGGATTTGGGATCAGGTTCGGGATCGAGTTTCGGGTGAAACTAAGAACATTAGAAATGGGTTTGTGTTTGGGATGAGGACAGGGCTGGGCATTTGGGATTGCGGTAAGATCCCAGGACACAGTGTTATTTTCCCCATTCCGGGAAGGTGTGTGTATGTAGCAGGGAGTACAGTGTTCTAGAGAATATGTGGGAAAGAGCAGGGGATTGGGATGGATGGTCTGTTGGAGGAGCAAACTCCGACACACACATCTGTAGCTTCTACACCCCCAGCCTTCTGCATCTCACGCCCACCACCTCCCCTGTCCATCTTTATATCCCACCAAAAAAAACAACCTTTGTGATTGTGCCAAGCCCCCACCTTCCCCCCTTCTCCCGTTGCTCAGAGTCCGACTCCATTGTGTGAAGCTGTCCAGGATGGTACTGTGTAAATGTAAATCCTTGTGTTGTCGCTTTGCTGCATTTTCCTCTGGCTTCAGACACACTGGCAAGTGAGATGATTCAGTCACTTAATGAGGCTTCACTGTTGGACAGGCAGCAGAATGGGCGCTCAGACTGCCTAATGCTTTAATTAACTCCAGCCTTGCCCCGGGGAACATCGCAAGCTCTGACACTGTCGAAATTAGCTTGCGTGGGAGATGTCCATAAATTTCAGTGGGAATTATGCTCCGTGTTGCTTTGTTGGCAACAGCAGCACTTGCTTCATTTCCCATTAATCCCGTTTAGCCAACGCTTTGAGGTATCTTTCCATGTGAAAGGCTCTGGATAAATCCATGTTGCCGCTGGCAATGGGGTATGTGCTGACTCACATGGTTTAATAATTCTGAGATATGGGATTTATAGCCCGACTCACTCGCGGGATTTTTTTGGGGTCAGCCAAGTGTCTGACACATGGGGAAACCTCCCAATGTGCTTAAGAGTCTCCAAACCAAACTTGATAATTCCAAGCATCCCACCTACACATGGAAATCCCAGAGATATTTGTTGGAATGGAATACACACTCCCTCTCTCCCTGGAGGGAAGTATCCCGCTTACCTAATTCTGGGAAGTATTAGGCTCAGGTTGGCAAGAGCCAGGGCTTGGGGACCCCAGGGTGTGCGTTGGGGTAACTGCTGGAGTCTAACCAGCTAAAACCACATAGCTTGCCATTGACACCACTGTCAATTGATAAAGTACGATAACTAAAATTTGCACTTATTCAGTACACTTCATGTCAGAGAGTGGCTGAAACTGAGGTGGAGTTGGGATGAGAGCTGGGTATGAAAGTGGGTGGGGTGGGGGAGACGTGAGTAGGCAGATGTCGGCCAAAGGTACGGTCAAATCACTCCACGGCCTCGCCACACCTTACCTGTGCAATTTCCAACAACCTTATTTCTTCTCTCTCACCCTTCCTCTTGCCCTCCTTCCTCTGTGACCTGCTAACCCTATACCAACCTATCTGTTCCCTTCGCTCAGTGGGCTCCAGACTGCTCCATGTCCCCCACCATGCCTGCTCTACCATCGAGCCTTGAGCCTCTCTGCCTCCACCCTTCGGAATTCCATCCCACTGCCCCTTTGCCTTGCCCCCTCCCTTACTTCCTTCAAGGCCTGTCTCAAGACCCTCTTCAACTGCGTCTTTGGTCATCCTCCTAACCCCTACCATCCCTGCCCTCCATCCACCCTGATCCCAACCCCCAGCTCGGGTGCAAATCCTTGACAGTTCAGCACCTTGGGACATCCTCCCGACATGAAAGGCGCTGTGAAAGTATAATTTGTTGTTGTTGAGTAGCTTCAGCGAGACATCCAGATGAGGGAAAACGAGGTGGCCAGGGAGATGCGACGCAAGGAGAGGCTGGAGAAGGAGGTGAAGCGTCTCCAGGGAGAGCTGGAGGCCAAGCAAGCCGAGATCAAACAGCTACAGGTCCAGCAGTTCAAGAACAAGGAGGAGCACCACAAGGTGGAGCATCAGCTCAAGGAACAGAAGGTAAGTGGAGTCCCATAGCGTAGTGGTTAGTGCACTAGCCCCGCAAGTGAAAGAACCTGGGTTCAATTCCTGGGCAGGGCGAAACCTGAGACAATTTTCCTTACTCCACATGCCTCTGTTTACCTCGCAGGAGGTAGGAACCTGCTTGTTAGTCGATTTTGGATCGCTTTCCGGAGGTAATAAAAAAAATCCACGACTGTTTGTGGGACACTGTGTGCACAATTGGCTACTGCGTTTTGTTCACAAAATATACAATCAATTCACTTAACGTATATTCTGTGAAGCGCTTTGAAATGTCTCGAAGATGTGGTAAGGTGCTATATCAAATGGAAGGATTATTATTATTAGCTGATGGCCTGAGAGCAAGAGGCTTCCTACTCACACCCCTCCATCATCAGCCTGACTCAGCCTATGCATGCTCATCTCTGCATCAGAAAATTGTGCATCCAAGCCCCCACGTCAGGGAATTTGAGCTCACATGAATCTAGGCAGACACTAGGCAGTGGTGGTGGGTAGCATTGCATTTTCAGAGGCGCCTACTTTGGATGAAATATTAAACTGAGATTCCCATCTCTGTCTAAGTGAGTGTTAAAGATCCCATTGGAAAAAGAGAAGGGAGTTTCTCCTTGTGTCCTACTGTCACTGTCCTTATGGTTCTTTTGTGGGAAGTTGCTTTGTACAAATTGGCTACTGCCTTTGCCTGCAAAATACTGGGGACTGCTCTTTACACAAAACTCGTTGAGATGTTTTGATGTGACTAGGCGCTGTGTCAAATGCACGGCTTATTTTATGGTTATGCCTTTTCTCCCTCGATCAGATCTTGAATGAGAGGCTGTCCAAGGACCTGGAGGTGCTTCACCATCGATTCACCAAGTTACAGGTGGAGAACGAGCAGCAGGTCATGATCACTGACCAGCTGATGCACGATAACACTCAGAAGATGATTGAGCTGAAGGTGGGTATCCTCTGTGTTTCACGTCACATGACTGGCTATGACTCCCTTGTCTTCTTCAAGACCCCATCTCCTCCTCTCCCCACCCCCCCACCCCGTACCGCTGTCCAGCTCTCTGTTACTCCATAGATGGTGTGTAAATACCAGGCTGTAAATAATACAGGGGAACAGATGTCTGCTGTCTGCAGTGCAGCCTGATATAATGAGCTTTGTTACTGATATTGTGAAGTGTGAGAAGTCAGGTTCAATCCGACGCATCCGGTTCGCTTATCATGCTGCAGAGCAGCCCCATGCGAAGGGCGCTATATAAATGCAAGTCGTCGTTAACTCCTCTCCGACAATCCCAAATATTATTTAATTTAATAAAATATTATTTAATGTAATGGTATTACGTTGTCTGAACGCGGTGTCGGGCTCCCAATCACATCAGCCCAACGACGACGCCAACAACAAAGGGCTTGGAAGCGCGTTGGGGGCTGATGGAGCCAGCCGGGGCTGGCTTTCTGCCCACGTTTGCGGTGGCATGACCGGTGACGAGATGATCTGGCTGATCGATAAGTTGTTCCGTGCCAGCGCTGATGTACCACTGTTCCTGACCGGCAGCAGCTCCTGCCGGAATTTGGCTGCCCTGACCCTCCGCTTTATAATGGGGGCTGCCCTGTTGTGCGTGCTGCTCGGGAGCGACTTGGCCTCTGATGTGTTGTTGCACACAGACCCGAGAGGACGAGGTAAGCCACATGCGCCAGGAGATCACCAAACTGAACAAGGTGAAGGAGGTCATGCACAGGAAGATGCACGTCCTGGAGGATCACAAGACGGACTTGGAAAATCAGCGAGAGACACTCAAGAACCTCACCAGCGGGCTGGATAGAGGTGAGGACTCGGGGTATAAGGCAAGCTGTGCTCTTCCGATACCCTCGGGCAGGGCAGTCCTACTGGTGGCTCATGGGCCACAACCGGCTCCAGGGATGATTTCAGCCGTCCCACGAACAGAGTTGCACTCCTTGTCCGGAGTGCCGCATTGACAGAGTTGCTGTCCTTCAAATAAAATGTTAAATCGAGGTCCGTCTGCCTATATCTAAAATTGTTAACAGTTTTTGGTTTTCTCTTCTTGTGTAGTTGACTGCTAGATGCCTGCATGTAATTAAGGGAAAAGAAATCTCCAGAATATAAATCCATCCCCTCTTCTGTGCTGTTTAACCCTTGCCTCCTCCCCTGCCTTCCCCTTGTACCTATTTCACAGTGAAACATGCCTCATTGATCACATGGACAACAACAAAACAACAATAATGTGGACATACACAGATCCTTTCACATTAAATGAACGTTTCCAAACACCTGGAGTTTAGCCCAGTAAGACAATACACATCAGCCAGCTGCCAGGATTGGTGTGGGGGACGCAATATCCGTTCACAACCTTTACACCTGAGTGATGAGGGAGTGATGAGGGAGGGATGGAGGGAGGGAGGGAAGGAGGGATGGAGGGAGTGGGAATGAACCATATTCACTAAAGTGCCTGTTCTCTTCTTTGTCAGAGCTGGAGGCTGTGAAGAAGCAGGCTGACATTGACAAGAAGGCCATTGATGAGCTAGTGCGAGAGCGAGACATTCTGAATAAGGTGAGTGCCTGGGGCCCAGGTGTTACAAACTGCTTAAATCCCTTGTTCAGTGGCGGTTTGTAGGACGTCGCTGTGTTCAAATTGGCTGCCCGGCTAGCCCACAAAATACACAGTCATACACTTTATAGTAACTCAACACCCCCCATGACGATAATTATAAATTGTTGTTCAACAAACAGAATGAGGCTGGACACAGTGTTCCCCCCCCTCTCTCACACACACACACACCTCACATACACACATCTCACACACAAACACAGACACACACACAGATACACACACAGTACCAGTTAGTGGTTTTGCAGCTTTGTTTTGAACACTTTTCCTTAGGTTGAGGGTCTTCAACTCACTTAGGAACATAGGAACATTCAGCCCCTCGAGCCTGTTCCGACATTCTATTAGATTATGGCTGATATGTATCTCAGCTCCAATTACCTGCCTTTGTCCCATATTCCTTGATACTCTGACCTAACAAATATCTATCCACCTCAGTCTTGGCATAAACCCTGCCCTTGAGCCTGCCATGTGTCTATCCCGGGCTCTGGTGTGATCTACACAGGGCTATAGTGACCTTGGAGTGCTGGCCAGTGCCTGAGCCAAGCTTGGGGTCAGGAGGGTGAAACACAGTTGCTAAGGTTGAACCCGGTTTTGCTGGTCTTTCCTCAGAACGTATTGAAGGCGATCAGTGCCACCGACAAGCAGCTCAACCTGGTCAAGCTCCACGAACAGTCAAAGAAGGTCCTGGAGAACGAGATCCAAAACTATAAGAATGAGGCTCACAAACAGCGGAAGATCATCCTGCACCTGGAGAAGGAGCGGGACCGATATATCAACGAGACCAGTGCCCTCTCACACAGGGTCAGTGCCACAGGATAGCTGTCCAGGCAGCCCAGGCCAGGCCCATCAAATATTCCCATCCACATTAACAATGCTCCCACAACTCAGTTGCCTTCAGCCTTTGTGCCCCCGCCCTATTGAACTCCGTCCCGCAGCCCTTCTGCCGCACTCCCTCCCTTGCCTTCTTTAAGACCCATCTCAAGACCTTCCTCTTTGACTGCGCTTTCGATCATCCTTTCACCCCCACGCCCCTTGCCCAACACCCCTGTCGACTCCAGCCCGCAGCTTGGGTGTTTGACTGTCTAGCGCCTTGGGACACTCTCCCGACGTGAAAGGCATGATATCAATGCAATTAATTGTTCTGGTTATTAGTGAAATTGATTATCTGAAATCACATTGAACGTAAAGATGGGTGAAAGACGGATTTGGATAAAGAACAGGAGAAAGGAAAGGCGTGTCTCTCATTGAGCACTGTGACTGAGGCGCGGAGTGAATGCTAATGGTTTGGAAATGTTCCTCCTGCAGGTCTATCAGAACATGGAGGACATCAATGCCCGCGACTTGCAGAACTTTGAATACAAGAAGAAGATCGCAGATGCCATGAGCAAGCTGAGACATCAGCAAACCATGTTCGAGACAGTGAGGAACGACAGGAACCTTCAAAGCAAGAACCTGATCGAAGCCAAGGTATGAAACCTGCCTGCGCAGTTCGACATCTAGACCCCAGACTCCAGCGAGTGAAAGAAACCGGTCCTGTAGCTCAGTGGTTAGAGCACTCGCCTCCTAAGCGAGAGGACCTGGATTCAATTCCTGGGCAGGGCAAAATCTTAGGCACGTCTTACTCCACACGCCTCTGTTTACTGAGCAGTAAATAGGAACCCGGTTATTAGTTGATTGGCAAATCACTTTCCAGGGTAAACAATCGCTCAAAAAAATATATATTTGGTCACTCAATCCACGACTGTTTGTGGGACACTACTATGTGCAATTAACCACTGTGTTTTGCTCACAAAATATAGGCAATTCACTTTACAGTATATTCTGTGAAGCACTTCGAGACCTCTCAATGACGTTATAAAGCACAGTATCAAATAAAAGTATTATTATAATTGTGAAAGATTCTGAAATTCTGCATCTGTATTGTAAGCTTGTCCTTTTTCTTTAAAGAACCAATGTGTGTGCGTGTGTATGTGTGCGTGAGGGCGTGGGGGTGTGTTCAAAAAAAGCTTCCAAATTAAAGCTGAATAGAAGAATTCTTTCTCATTCTGTAGAATTCCCTTAAAATCTTAAGGCAAAATAGTCTTACAGGCAAAGACTAGGTGGAATTTTTGGGCCCCTGATCTTTTGTTCTTGATGTGGGTTCAAGTTCTTTTGTTCTTGATAGTGGAGTCCTGTAGCTCAGTGGTTGGAGCACTCGCCTCACAAACGAGAGACCTGGGTTCAATTCCTGGCAGGGCGAAACTTTGGGCAAGTTTCCTTACTCCACACGCCTGATAATAGTCCCTCAAGAAAAAACCCAATAATAATAATAATCTCCCAGTGTCGTAGCCAATAATCTCCTAATTAAAATTTATCACTCACTCCATGGCTGTTTGTGGGACACTGCTGTGCACAAACTGGCTACTGCATCCAACAACAAAATACCCACGTCATAGTAAAATCCTGTGATGTGGCAGCATTATAGGACGCTGTATAAAATGGAAGAATTATTATTACTGTAATTAACGATTGGAAAAGGTTGTCAGGAAGGGTGGTTTAGGTCAGGATGGTGGATTCATTTATTGAAAAAAATGCATTTATACAGCATTTTTCAAATTGAGAGGACGTCCCAAGGCACCGGACGGTGCAGGGTGTGACCCGAGACGAAGTAGTGATGGAAGAATGGTCGGGTAGGTATTCGCAAGAGGAAGGGCCACTGATTGTTTCCCAACTTGTTCTTTTGAAAGGACGAAATCACTGAAATGAAACGGAAGCTGAAAGTCACTAACCACCACATCGATCAGCTGAAGGAGGAGATCTCCTCGAAGGAGGCGGCGTTGGTGAGGCAACAGCTGGAGCACCAGCGCATGGATAAGGAGAAGGAAGCGCTTAAGGTACCATATTAGCAACTGATCAGATATTCCTAACTAATCAAACATGGCCAATGTGTAACAAAAGTCTCAGCTGAGGCCCATTCTGCACTAACTGGCAGGAGGCAGCAATAAAGGAAGCCATACAGAATGCTGGCTGGGTGGTGTGCCAAATCGGTTGAGTTCAGATGGTGAGGCAGGGCAGAGGAGAGATGATTGCCAGTATAAGAGGAGTGAATTATGATGAACAACTGCAAACGCAACCTCTTGCTGCTATATTGTCACCATGTCTTATCCTCTCACCCTCCTGGCTATTCTGTGGTGTCAGTAGGGACCAGCAAAGCCTCAACGGTTTGGTTGCTATGTGCCTAATGGAGACGAATCTCTCCTTCCCTTTCTCCCTCTCGCTTTCTCTCGTATACACAAACAAGCAAGACATCACCGAAAGCACAACACTCCTCTCTTATGCTTACGGTTGTTGTTTGCGTGGGTTTTTTCTCATTTTAGCAGTTGGGTCAACACGTGGCACAGTCTCTGCGCCTGATGCGGTTAATGTAGCGTCAGCGTTCGAATCACTTCCACCAAGTGCTTTGTCGGCCACACAGGCAATGATGTGATGGCCACCTGCGGAGTGGCAGCCTAGGACAGGATAGGCTGTCATAGCACTGGCAAGAGTGCCTCTCTTTCCTGTGCTTCAGTTGGTCTGATTCCTGCCTCATGCTGTCTCTGTCACACCGCACAGGAAGTGATTGATGTGAAAGGTAATTAGACAAGAAAGAGAAAGAGCAACCAGGATGCATTTTAAATTGAAAGAAATGACTTCGCCATGAACTGAATTACATGCCTAGTGAGGTTCTGGGGGCATTAACTGTGCAATCTTTCTCCTGTTCATTATTATGTAATATATATATAATATAGTCGACTTTCCGGGGGTAATAATCTATTCAAAAACAAAATAAGTTAATAAAAAAATAATAATTTGGTCACTCAATCCACGACTGTTTGTGGGACACTGCTGTGTACAATTGGCTGCAAGGCTCACATCGGAGCCCACAAAATATACAGTCAATTCATTTTACAGTATATCCTATGAAGCACTTTGATACATCTCAGTGATGTGATAAGACGCTATATCAAATGCAAGGATTTTTATTATCATAGAGGATGGAGGGGAGAGGAGGGTGTGGAGAGGGAGCAGACAGGAATCCAGGCACAATGTCCTTAAAAATAATATTGTTTCATAAAACCCCTGTTTAAGTAAATGATATAAATAGTTTTATATCTGGCCAGGACTGTGAGCTTAATGAGGCTGATCGTAACTCACTTGTAAGCTCCCATGTGAGCCTTGCTTGTGAAGTTGTTCATCATCTCTTACACTGTCTGTTGCTGGACAGGGAGTGGATGGAACGTACGCATAATCCTTTACGCTCCAGCGCTGCTGTCCCAGTAGGGTGTCGGCATGAAGGGGCAAGCGTGATACTTTCAAATAAAAAGAGAGAGATGCTACTCCACAAAGGGTTTACTGCACTGCAATACTGGGGCTACACTAGAATATGGAGAAATAATCACATTGTACATCCCATCACTATGCTTTAGAGTATCCAAACCAAACTGAGAATTCCATGCATCCCATCTACACATGAAAATCCCAGAGATAGATTGTTGGAAAGGAATGCGCACTCTCTCTGATTCCCTCTCCTCCTTTGGGTCTTAAACCATTACAGATTTTTTGCTACAAGCGTGACAGAATGTCAATACCTGCTTGTGTGACAATAATCCTGCATTCAGGCCACCATAGCCGCATGACCCCGCTGTCCATCACCACTGACCATCTCCACCGTTAGCATCCCGGCCCCGTTTCACTCTCTGCACTTGGCAGCTGGCCAGGAAAGAGAGGTCTGTGTCAATTTGCCTCTTTTGGCCATATCCCAACCATCAGTTTTCCTCTGGCTTTCCCAGAGTTTTGCCGTTCCTGTGCCCAGATTGACGGCTGTGCTCGCTCACTCGCTGCTTGCTGACACCCCCACCTGCCTGCTTTGCAATCTGGCTCAGTCGGTGATGCTCTCGCCTCCAAGTCAGAGGGGTTGTGTGTTCAAGCCCCCCACGTTGGGACTTTGAGCTCACAGTCTAGGCTGACACTCTAGGGGAGCACTGCATTATCGCATGTGCCATCCTTCGGATGAGACATAAAACTGAGGCCCATCTGCCTGTTCAGGTGGTCGATAAAGATCCCATGGCACTGTTCAAAAAGAGTAGGAAGTTTCTCCGTTCGTTTCATGGCTGTTGGTGGGACGTTGCTATGCGAATGGGCTGCCAAATTCACTTGCAAAATATACAGTCATCACACTTCATAGTAAATCCTGTGGAGCGTTATGGGACGGACATTCTCTTGATGCGAAAGGCGCTGGACCAAAAGCAAGGATTATTATTATTATTGTTATTGCAGTTTAGATTACTATGTTGAGTTAATTTCTAAATGGTTTTCAGTGATGGTCAGCCAGACAATAACCCCGCCTTGCACGGCAGTAACACGGCTGTCACTTTTCTTAATATATTTGAGCTTCCTAAAATAGCTACTTTTTAAATTATTATTATTATGTTATTACAGTTTAGATCATTCCATAGAGGTGGATTATTATATTATTATTATTACTATTAACAAACCTAGGCTGAACTGCAGAAGATGAAGCGACAGGCTCAGGAGACCAAGATGTTCATTGAAAGTCAGGAGACGGAGGAGAAGAAGCTGCTCAGGATCATCTCCGAGGCGGACACAGAGAGACTCCGGCAGAAGAAGGAGTTGGACCAGGTGGGTCCCATCAGCTGAACCATCAGCACCTGCCAATATGGGTGCGGTAACCGTGTGTACTGCCCCAGTCAGCCTCGCTGCGTGCTAATGTTCATTTCCAGGCTATTCCTACCACTCTACCAGCAACCGTGATCTGCTGGGATTCCTTTGACACTCACGCTTGATTTTTGCTTGGGGGAAAAACAAAGCAGCCCAGTGCCACCCACTGCTGCCCAGTGCATCCCGGTTCAGTGGAGTCTGTTACCATCCATTGCAGTCTAGCACAGTCCAGTGTAAGTCCCTTAATCTGTTACCTGTGCAAGGCTGTTCGTGATAACCCAGAGCCCTCATTGTTTAGAGGATGAGGAACTCTGAGAAACCAGCTCCTTTCCAGCCACATAAGAACATAAGAATTTGCAAGATGAAAGAAGACCAAGGTCCATCTAGTTCGCCTTCCACCATTCTGACAGTCGTTTGACATTGTCATGTCCCAAACTGCATCCCGAGATGTTATTTTCTAGCAGAAATCTATCTAATTTGTTCTTGAAACAAACACTTTCTGCTTCCACTGTCTCTCTAGGGAGCCTGGGAGTCAGTATCCCTGGGAAAAGCTGCTATCTGGGCAATTTCCGTACAGAAAACACCAGAAATAAATTTTTTTATGGAGATTTATGAAACATTCTATATGTGACTCTGTTACACCCTTTTTATATTTCTGTGCATCTGTGTGTATGCATGTGTGTGTGCGCATATGTGCATGTGCGTATGTTTTTTTATGTATATTTTTGATCATGCTAATAAGTGCTCTGGGTGGAAGCTGGGATGGTGAAGTTACTGAGCCCGACAGTGCGAGGCAGCTGAATTAACATCAGTGGCGTTCCAGTCATTTAACCCAGCAGTCTTACAGCTTCAACTGCGCGCCTGTTAATTCAATCCTATTGCACTGTTGAGCTTGCAAGTGAATACTCCCCACATGATGGAGTTTGCGCATAGCTCTCAAGTAGAATTAAGCCCTTTCTTAATGACTGTTAAGACCAAAGATAATTGGGATGTCCTTCGGATGAGACATTAAACCGAGGTCTCATCTGTGCCTGTTCAGGTGGACATAAAAGATCCCCTGGCACTATTCAAAAAGATAAAGGAGTTTCTCTTTCCCGGCTTGTCCTTGCCCAATGATTGCCCTCCTCATCCCTCATCAAAGATAACATTGGCACTTACTTCATGGCTATGCTGTGGGGAAATCAGCTGCAACGTTCACCCACAAACAACAGTCTTTACAGTAAAATCATTTACTTTGCAAAGGTTCACTTCAAACAACCTCCACGTTGCAGATATCAGTGTCTCCTCCTGTTCTGTTTGTGTGCTTAACACATTTATCATCTCCAGCCAATTTCAGACGTCTTGGGTTGGATGCCCAGCTTGTGCCGAGTATGTGACACATGCAGAAACCCATCAACACGCTTAAAACTATCCAAACCAAACAGAATTCACACTCTCTCCCTGGAGGGACACATCCTCCAGGGAGAGATCCCTTCGAAACCAAAAACAATAATAAATTGGTCATTTTCAATCTACGACTGTTTGTGGGACATTGCTGTGCGCAATTGGCTGCCGTGTTCGCCCACAAATATACAGTCAATTCACTTTACAGTGTGTTCTGTGAAGCGCTTTGGGCCGTCCTCCCGACGTGAAAAGCGCTATATCAAATGCAAGTATTATTATTATTATCCTGTTTACTTAATTTCAGAAAATATTAGGTGCAGGTTGGCAAGAGCCAAGGCTTGGGAACCCCAGAATGTGTGTTGGGTTAACTGCTAACCAACTAAAACCACATAACTTGCCATTGATAGCACTGTCTTGCGAACTTTCCTGCTGCTTGTCCAGCTAGCACCAGCCTACTCGTTAGGGCGTTGACTTGCAGGGTTAACAAGCCGAACGGGTTACTGTTCTTAAAAGTAGCTGCCCAGTGGCACTCAACATGTAAGCTGTATGTGCCCAGTGGGGGAAGATCGCTACCCATTGCACCTGAGATCAGTTGTGTGAAAACAGGACTGGTTTGTAGCTACTTGTTTCGCTGAAAAGGGGACTGTGCTCAGTCGTGATGCATTCCAGAGGCCGCTGTCACTCACCAACTCTCCAATATGAAGAGTGGCTAATTGGGCAAAGTACTGGAGAACAGCCAATGCCCATGAGAGAGAACCCTGACTGAGCCAGGAGACGATGGGAGAAAATTGGCACAAATAAGGGAGGGAGAGAAAAAAAATTCCATTAGCGAAAGCTCAGGATCACCAAGCGCACTAAGCAGTATATTATGTGCCTTCAATGTCAAGTGAACCCTTTCTTGTTTTCTTAAGTTGAAAAAAAAGACTTGTGTTCGCTTACGGGCCTCGGGGAAGTGATTACTGCCAAAAGCATTATTCATTGCTGAAAGAAACTCCAGTTGCATTGTCCTCGCCTCGTGTATTTTAATTAACTTGTTTGTTGCGGATTCTCCCCCAGGTTATCACCGAGAGAGACATTCTGGGCACCCAGCTGGTGAGACGCAATGACGAGTTGGCCCTGCTGTACGAGAAGATCAAGATCCAGCAGTCCATGTTGAACAAAGGTGAGATGCAGTATAGGCAGCGAGTGGAGGACATCCGGCTCCTCAAGTTGGAGATCAAGAAGCTGCGACGAGAGAAGGCCATCCTCACCAAGACAGTGGCCAACGTGGATGACCTCAGGTAAACCCGGTGAAATTGCCCATCAATTGTTTCCTTTTTCTTCTCCTTCTCCTCACCACTCCCCCACTCCCCACCCCCCACCTCTGCTCGGAGGCTTGGGGGAAACTCCCTTCTCTTTTTAATTAGTGCACGGGATCTTTAACGTCCACCTGAGCAGGGAGACGGGATCTCGGTTTAACATCTCAGGAATAGGTGCCAACTGAGACACATGTAAGGCTTGTGGAGTGCCCCCTGGCCCACCATCGTGGCTTGGCTTTCTGATTCTACACTCCTAACCTCTGGAATGTCATCCCTCCTCCCCTCTGCTCGCCGACTCCCTCCACTCTAATTCTGTCTTCAAATCCCACCTCAAATCCTACTTCTTCGACCGGGCTGATAGTCACCCACACTCGTCGTCCGTCTCCGCCACTCAAAGCTCTCCAATACATTATTCTACCTGAAGGTCGCTGTGTGAATGTAATTCTTTGGTGTTATTGTTGTTCTGGCTGAACACCGTGGGTTAGATGTCATAAATGGTCCTTCTGTCAGTCGCTGTGTAAGATGAATAGAGAGTAGAGGAGATTGTGAGTCACTGCATCAGAGATTGGATGTGTGGAAGCAGGGCTTGTCTGTAGCTTGCAATGATCCGAGTAGCAACTTTCTAAGCGGTTGCGTTTCTTGCTGGGTAGTGAGCTGCCATAAGGCGGCAAGGTAATGGATGGTTGGAGATAGGAATACTCTTCTCTACACCGACAAGGTGAATCTGCCAGGCTTCCTGCGGACTGTGTCCTTGATAGAGTGAAACGATGTTCCATTGAACACAAAACAAAACTCTGATAAAGACAAATGTCAGTGCCTTACAGATGTCCCCATTAGCACCTGTTCCTGAGATGTTAAACCGAAGTCCTGTCTGCCTGCTCAGGTACCCTGGCACGAATCAAAAAAATATGGCCAACAAGTACCCCAGATAAAACTGGTCATTCACTCCATGGCTGTTTTGTGGGATATTGTAGAACATTCACCCCCAGCTCGGGTCCAAATCCTTGACTGTCCGGTGCCTTGGGACGTCCTCCCGACGTGAAAGACCCTGTATAAATGTAATTTCTTCTTGTTGCTGTGTGCAAATTGGTGCCGTGTTTGCCTGCAGAATGCACAGTAATTTACAATACATCAGTCTGACACATCTCGGAGATGTGATAAGGCGCAATGTCAAATAATAACAATAATAAACCTTGCATTTCATATAGCGCCTTATCGCATCTTCGAGACATCTCAAAGCGCTTCAAGGGATATACTGTAAAGTGAATTGATGGTATATTTTGTGGGCGAAACGCAAAGATTATGAAATGCAAAGATTATGAATCCTCTGACTCGGAGGCGAGAGTGCTACTGTACCAGGCTGACACCTGCAGTGGGGTCACGTCACAGGCAAACCTATGGCAGCGATCCCGTATTCCAAGCTTCCCGGTGAACACTCCACAGTAACAAATGGGGAGCTGCTGTGGTGCTCATTCCTGCAGCATCTGTTGTGAATTCCCCCCCATATCAGATTAGCCCAAACCGCAGGCTGCTGGCACAACAAATGCAGCAACACACACATGTATGCCACCAGTAATTGGCCCTGGCACTGTCTGCTTATTGCTAAAAAAAATTGTGCCTTTCTCGTTCTTTTACTGCTAAAGATCTTGCTGTGACGAGTCTGCTCGTCCATATGGCTTCTGTGTGTTCCAAACCAGCGAACCCCAGGCGTTCCAATGGATCAATCAAACCGAGCAACATAATAATAATACCACTGCTACTTGGGATGTACTCCTGATGGGAAAGGCTCTATGTAACTACTTCTACTACTATTACTACTACTACTAATAATAATAATCCTTGCATTTTTGGTATAGCGCCTTATCATATCTTTGAGACATCTCAAAACACTTCACATGTTATACTCTAAAGTGGATTAACTGAGGGATTATTACCCCCGGAAAGCGATCCGCCAAGCGACTAACAACTGGGTTCCTACTTACTGCTAGATAAACTGAGGCATGTGGTGTAAGGAAACTGGCCTAAGGTTTTGCCCCGCTAGGAAACGGAACCCGAGTCCTCTCGCTTGCGATGCGAGCACTCTAATCACAGCACTATGGGACTCCACAGTCTTCGTCCGTTACCAAAAGTATTTGGTAACAATTGGGTTGCCTCGCACACCATTCCATTCAAAATCCAAATCACTAATGGAAGGAGTTCAAGAGACCACCGCTTCCAGATGCCCTCAGCCTTCGGACCAAACATGGCTCAGCTTGGGAGCTGTCTGGAAAGCGAGCCATCTCTCAGTAGCTGCTGTGACACTGAAGCCTCACTTCCACGAAGAAGCCATCTGTGCTGAAAAAATCACCAGACCTTAGCTCCGCAGTAGCCTTGCTGCAAACTGAACCAAACATAGACAAAGAGCCCAGCCACCACATGAACTAACTGACCTCCCCATATGGCTATTCAGGAAAAACCCTGCCCCCTGCGGAGAGATAACAGCTCGTGGCAATTGTGTGTAATAGCCTGAGATTACACGGCCAGTCAGGCTTGGGAACGTACATCAGAGAAGGGGAAACGAAGGCTAAAGCAATGGCACTGCATGTTCTGGAGACATTAAGAATTGAGGCTCTTGCAATAAGACTCCAGTTGTTTACACTGCTGGAAACAATTCAGTATCACTTCAAACTTATAGTGATGTGGAGTGAGCGAGAGGAGGCTGAGTTATATTTCCTGGTCTGATTCGCTTTGGCTGGGGTTTGAGGGGGGAAAGGGTTTGGTTTGGGCAGGTCCTGCATGATTTCTTGTTCTTCAATGTTTAGAGTGAAGCTGGGTGTTGGTTCTTAACAGGAACACTTTGAAACATGGTCCCTTGAAGGCTCCTAGACTGTCTCTTGGCTCATTCAAGATCATCTGAAGGAGTGTATGTGATTCTCTGTTTTGTCAATAATAGGATTATATATGTATAAGTGTCAGCATGGCTTGGTTGGTAGCAGTCTCGCCTCTGAGTCAGAAGGTTGTGGGTTAAAGCCCCCTCATTGGGGACTATTGTCTTACACTCGAGTACAGTGTAATATATATTGTGTATGTGTGTGTTACACAGTGAGTAGCGTGATACACTCTGTGTTACACACACTGTGTGTAACGCTCTGTGTGTGATATGCTGTGTGTGTGCACTACACAACAATACAGTATGATACGCTGTGTGTTACACACTGAGAGTATTATGCAGCAGTGCATTTGCTGTACAGACGGGAGCTGCATCACGTACAGAGGAAGCTGCTGTGTGTATGAGTTACACAATAAGTGCAGTGAAATTGTGTATGCATGTGTGAATTGCACAGCAAGTACAGTGAGATGCTGTGTGTGTGTGTGCATGTGTGTGTGTTACACTGTGTGAGACACTGTGTGTGTGTTTGTGTGTGTTACACAGTGAGACAGTGTGTGTGTTACATAGTGTGAGATGCTGTGTGTTTGCTGTACAGGCGGGAGCTGTATCACGTACAGAGGGAGCTGCTGAAGGAGCGAACACGGTGCAGGGCCCTGGAGGAGGAGCTGGAGAACCCCATGAATGTGCACAGGTGGCGCAAACTGGAGGTAACGGGCAGAACTCGCCCCTTGTTCCCTCTTAGTGCTTTGACACATCCGTGCGCCATGAAAGATGCTGTGTAAACATAAAGTGTATTCCTTTGTGGGATACATGTGCAGTGACATTAGGGGTCAAGAGGTTTGTAGGAGCGCTGAACTGTGATGACACCCTGTTATAAGGCACTTTGGGGTTTTATAGACACCCACCGCTAATGATGTCCTTATAAGGGGACTCTGCTGTGTGAAGCATCAGGTATGACTCTCGCCTGGTGCACTGGGCGATTTGACTGAACTCTCGCTAACCGGTATCCAACAGGGCAAACTCCTGAGCCATGAATCCCATTTGTTGCCATTGAGAATGGCGACTGTCATCGTTGGGATGGAGGGGCGGGGAGTTGTAGTGGGGGAGTTCACTGCGATATACAACTTCGGTTCCTTACAGCCATCGAACGGCCTGCCACATTGCTCCCAGTGTAAAGTAACAAACTGTTAACAATTTATTTCACCACAATCACCAGCATCTCATTGCCCTGCTCCCTCACTGACTGGAGGACTCAAAACCTACCTGTTTGACGGTGCTTTCAGCCACCTTTCCCCCCCCCACCCCACTGCTCAAGTTGCCAGCCAGCACCTTGAATGCGCTTTGGGATGTCCTTCCGATTCGAACCAAAGGCAGTGTGTGAATGTCGATTGTGTTGTATCTGCTACAGGCCAGCGATCCCAGCACGTACGAACTCATTATGAAGATTCACACGCTGCAGAAGAGACTGATCGCAAAAACCGAGGAAGTGGTGGAGAAAGAGCTTCTCTTACAGGTACCAAAGTTACTAACCTAACCTCCCCCACCCCACCCCTCCACATCATCAACCTGCCCCTCTCCCACCACCAACCTAACCAACCACTCCCCACCACCAATCTAACCCCTCACCACCAACCTAACTCCCCCACCCACACTCAACCTGCCCCTCTCCCAACCATCACAATACCTACCCACCAACCCACTCGCTCACCCTGGCACAGTGGAGAGTTAATTCACACACCCCTGCGAGGACATGGTGGGCTAGTTCCAAGCAATAAATACGTAAGGTGTTTAATGATGGGATTCGTCTACCTTGATTTGGAGAAAATTGGAAAACCCAACAAATACAATTCCCCCTCCCCCCACATTTTACTGGTTATAAAATCGGCAAACTGACGAGCCTACCTGTAACCAACACCAAGGTTCTGAATGGGATTGTTAGCCTAAAATCCAGGAGCGACAGTTACTTACAAGCTGCTTCTTTTTGAGAACTGCAGAAAAAAATGGCTTCCAAACTAAGACTGAGTTTGAGAATTTGCCACAATTCTGCAAAGACTACATGGAATTTTAGACCCTGTTGTCTCCAACTGCACCTCCTTGTGTGGGTGAAATGACTGGTGGTGCCAGCAGGGGGTGGCAGACACCCAGCGTTAAGGCCCACTCAGTTCACACGAGCGACGATTAAACTAGGAATTGTTTTGTCCTCTTGATCGTTCCGCACTGGAAATTGCTGTAAACATTAATTTACCTGTGACGAGACGATAAACCTTTTTTATTCTCTGAGAAAAACAAAGAGAGAGAGAGAGAGAAGCGTTTGAGTGAGAACAAATGTGTCGAAGCTAGTTACATCCCCACAGGGTGTATCATTACAGCACTTGAGTGGAGCTAAAGGGCTCGGAGCCTTGTAATTCCAAACAGGGAGCACGTCCGCGCTGACAAATTATTCAAGACAGCATAAAAGCAGGAAATTTAGTTTGAATAAACTAGGCACTCGATGGGTTGTTTGGTTGCGACTAGCTAAAGGTTGGTGAGTTTGAAATCATAGATGAATGTAATCTTGGTAACCTGGTCATGTCTGGACAGGGGAATGGTTGGGTGGGGAAGGGTGAGAGTGGTCGAATCATACTCATTCTGTGCTCCTGTAACAACAACAACTACTACTACTACTACTACTACTACTTGCATTGAAATTGGTCTGTTTCGGCCACAAAAATACACAGTCACTACACTTTGCAGTATATCCTGTGAAGCGCTTTGAAACGTCTCGACGACATGATAAGGCATGATACTAAATGCAAGGATTACTATTATTTAAACTGAGCACTTCATGCAGCGTGGCATCTCAGAACACCGCTCACTGGCAGGGTTGGATCCTGAGCAAAGGGAAAAGGAGGGAATGTGATGGGGGAGGGGGGGAGCTTCAGGTGGGATTTAAAGATAGATTAAATGTAGTGGTGGGGGAAGGAGAAGCAGAGGCATTGAGGCACAGAGCTCCAGAGATTAGAGATGTAAAGGTCCCAATTTTGACTTAGATTTAGCTAGTGTTTCACTTGGCAGGAAGCGTAACCCAGTTCTTATGTTGCTTGTTCAGGAGAAGGAGAAGCTTTATGTGGAGCTGAAGCACATCCTGGCTCGACAGCCTGGGCCTGAGACGGCTGAACAGCTGCAGATCTACCAGAAGGCCCTGCGAGAGAAGACCAGGCAATTGAAGGTGAGAGCACCTCCACTGGAACAACCAACCCACTACACAATCTCTCTTTAATCTGTCATCTAGTCCTTTACATCAGAGTGATCCAACTGGCGGCCCATGGGCCGCATCCGGCCTGGGGGTTGATTTAATCTGGCCTTGTGAATCATTTCCAAGTTCATTACCCAATGAGCAAATTCAGATGACATGCAGGCCCTGAGCCAATGAGGAGATCGTCCCTGGGGGCTCAGGCCCTGCCTGACAATGGGACTGGTCAATCAGGGTAAAATATTGCTTATGCGGCCCATGGATGTTTCTCAAATCCCACATCCGGCCCTCAGCAGCCAAACAGTTGGACCCCCCCCCCGATTTACACTAATCCATTCAGCTGTGACACTCCCCGCAGCCCCTTTCCTTTCCCCTTGTCCACATTGATGACATGGGCTAGAACCCGTGGATTGCCAGGGAATAGTGCTATTATTATTGGGAGGTCAAGGTTATTAACATTCCTATGCTAATTAAATGATGTTAAATAATTGTCTTCTTTCCAAAAACCGGAACAGAACCTGGGTCACAGTAAAATGTAACGCGTTTTCAGTAGGTTTTCCTTTTTGTCTGCAGGAGGGTTAAGTTTGCAGGGATGACTAAGTAGCTCGCGCTTGATCTTTGAGCTGTACAGGATGTCTCTCCAAACATGATGGAACACCATGCTCAGGACAGATACGCTGTGAGGGCTCACGGTGGCTGCTCATCATTTGTTGGGCGACAGTGACAGAGGATTGCTGTGCGATAGCGATCTGAGGTCACAGTCATCAAAAAAAGAGCAACTAATTTTATATATATATATAAAATAAGTTGCTTGTTTATGTGTATAGAGAGAGGGAAAGAGAGAGACAGAGTCACTTCATGGTCTGCTCCAGTTAACTCTTGTGGGTTGAGGACAGGAATTCTACCCATCAACCTCCCATTGCAAAGCGTCCGGCCTTAATTAATTCTGAGCTTCTGAAGCACGGCAGAAGCTGGCTGATCAGGGTGATGGGTTTCCTCGTGTGCCAGATAACGTCAGGTCACCGTGACGAGTGTCTGTGTGTGCCAGATAACAGCTGCCCACTGTGATGAGTTTCCATGTGTGCCAGACACACTACTGAACCATAAAAAAAGACCCATTGATCGATCCTTGACCCACATGTGACTTCTGTGGGACTTGCTCCCGATGTGAAAGGCGCTGTACAAATGTAACTTGTTGCTGTTGTGACTTGAATGCACATGTGGTGTGGCAGGCTGGTGAGTTTACCATGCACTTGGCTTATGCATCTTCTGTGGGATGTGAAATAACAGCAATTTGCACTTATTTATTTATACAGTGCCCTAGGATAGTGTCTTGGAGCGTTGCACAGTGGTAGGGTTTGGCAAGGGAAGAGGACGAGGTTACCATAGGTACAGTCGAAAGCACCTGGGTTTTAAAGTGGGATTTAAAGATGGATGAGGAGGCGTGAATCGGAAGGATTGAGTTTAACAGCAAATTACATTTATGCAGCGTTTCAAGGCCCTGACAGTCAAGGATTTGGACCCAAGCTGGGAGTTGGGATCAGGTGCGGTGGAGGGCAGGAAGTGTGGGGATAGAAGGGTGACTGAAGGCGCGATCGAAGAGGAGGGTCTTGAGTCATGCCTTGAAGGAGGCAAGCGAGGGAGCAAGGTGAAAGGACTGTGGGATGGTGATCCAAAGGGTAGGGGCAGAGAGGCTGAAGGGCCGACTGCCGATGATGAGGCGGGCAGGGCTGGGGACATGGAGCTGACCAGAGCCTGCTGAGCGGAGGGAGTGGACAGGTCTATATGGAATTAGCGGGTCATAGAGGTCGGGAGAAGCAAGGCTGTGGAGGTCTTTGAATGCATAGTGACTGAAGGAAATGATGTGGATGGGATGTGTATCAGGCTTGTGTTAGCTGAGCGGATGGGGACGGGCAAAGGAGTGGGGTACAAGCAGATCAGGGGGAGGGAGGTGCTGGGGCGTGAAGGGGTTCACAATGCGATCACTAAAAAAGGAGCATTTCGGGCAGGAGTTCTATTTAAATGCAGACAATTGAAGAGAATTGCAATCGTTTCCTTTTCATCTCCGTTCTTTTTTTTTACACGATTTAGCAACAAAAAGAAACAATGGTGTGGTGTAGATTAGATTAACCGCTGACACAATTGCCTGGCAAACAGAGCCCGAATCCAACCAAGTGAAGGAGCTGCTTTAACATGGATAGATATAGTTATTAACCCGTGGTGCTTCAGTGATTTCTGTCAGCTGAACCGTGCACACATGTTAATGCAGCTCCTTTGTATGGCCGAGGTAGGTAACTCCTCCCTACTCCTTCCTCCCTCGATACCACTACCATTGAACACAATGATGGAAAAATCAATTGAAGAAGGAATCTAACAGGATGTTAGTTGCAGGTGCAATTTGACCCGTCTTTCCAATGCCAGAGGTTGCAATTAAGCAAACGTAGGCTGACCAGCAGCATTAGCAACCCTGCAGAGTGATGGGGAAAGTTTGCATTTTGGAGCACAAAGCTGGTTTGACTTAGTTCAATTTGTATTATCAAGCATAAAGCATAATATTATCGGAGAAAGGATCAGCAGCTTGCAATCGCTACCCGACTGACCATAAACTGAGTGTGGAACTCAATTGTGGAGTCCTGTAGCTCAGTGGTTAGAGCACTCGCTTTGCAAGCGAGAGACCTGAGTTCAATCCCAGACAGGGCGAAACCTTGGGCAAGTTTCCTTACTCCACACAGAGCCTAATAATAATCCCTCCAGAAAAAAAAACAATAATAAATTGGTCATTTTCAATCTACGACTGTTTGTGGGACATTGCTGTGCGCAATTGGCTGCCGCGTTCGTCCACAAATATACAATCAATTCACTTTACAGTGTGTTCTGTGAAGCGCTTTGGGCCGTCCTCCTGACGTGAAAAGCGCTATATCAAATGCAAGGATTATTATTATTATAATTGTTTAGCTTGTTGATGGGATTCTGCATATGTCAGGAATCTGACTACAACTCAAACTAAAACACCAAAGGTTACAAGTCCTCGTTTTGTCTTCCAGCTGCACCAGATCACAACTAGAGTTTTTTTGGGGGTCAGCCGGGTATCTGACACTGCTTAAGAGTCTCCAAACCAAACTGAAAATTCCATGCATCCCACCTACACATGGAAATCCCAGACATAGATTGTTGGAATGCAATGCGCACTCTGAGAGGTTCAGATAAAAAAAACCTTCAGCTCATTATGTCTCATTCTTCCAGAACACCTACCCTGCCATTCTCGTATTGAGCTGTTCTTTTTTTAAAAAATGAATCCAAGTGTCTTGGCCCCAACCACCTTTCTTGATATCTTTATTCCATTTATTACCCTGTGGGTAAATAAATACTTCCTGATATCTGCCCTGAAATTGTTCTTTGCAATTCTAAACCTGTGTCTTCTTATCCTGTTGTCTCGGTGTATCCATAAGGGTCTACGTATGCAGTGTGTGCTACAGACCGATATTATGTCAGTGGACACCTTAATCGGTGATAAATAATTCTTGCCTTGTCACGTTCAAACGTCTTTAAAGCACTTCACACGATGAGTTGAAATGTAGTGACTGTTACGCAAGCAAATATTGGCTAGATAATAATAATACTTGCATTTGGTACAGCGCCTTTCACATCGGGAGGGATGACCCAAAGCGCTTCACAGAATTTTACTGTGAAGTGCAGTGACTATATATTTTTTGTGGGCAAACACGTCAACCAATCTGGTTACAGCATCGTGGGCTGTTCCCCCACCCCCAAAAGAAATTCCCCTGTTCCTGTCCCCCAGCCCTCCTTACTCCCATTTATATTGTTCAGTTAAGAGGAACTCTGCAATGATGACTTGGTCACATCTGAGCTCTGATACATTTTGCAGCACTGAACACAATCGGGGATGTGTACAGCTTTCTGACTGCTGATCTTTTGCTACAAGTTAATCCCTGTGTCATATGAAACTTCACTTCCCAGTTAACTAATTTCAGGCAGCTTATTGTCAATGTTTCATATCTGCTGGGAGTTCTCAACGAAGCCTTGAGCAGTAAGTGATAGAGGTTCTGTGAAATCTTGCTAGCTCAGTCGGTAAAACTCTCGCCTCTAAATCAGAAGGTTGTGGGTTCAAGCTCCACATCGGGTCTTGGAACTCATATAGTCCAGGCTGACCCTCCACTGTCTTGATCTTGGAGATGCTATCATTCAGTTGAGACGTTAAACCGAGGTCCCGTCTGCCTGTTCAGGTGGATGTTCAAGATCCCATGGCACTATTTGAAAAGAGAAAGGAGTTTCTCTCTCCCAATGTCCTGGCCAACAATCCCCCAGACTAAATTGGTCATTCACTTCACGGATGTTTGTGGAGATGTTACTGTCTGCAACTTAGCTGCTGCGTTTCGCCCATAAAACACACAGTCACTTCACTTGATAGTGAATCCTGCGAAGTGCTTTGGGACATCCTCATGACGTGAATTCCAAATATAAAGATTGTTATTGTTGTAGTGTGTTTGAGAAGTAGAAGGCAGTTGAATTCTTTAGGCAACACACGTAGATGACCTTTTCCCTGGTTTGTGTTATTCAGGCCCTGACTTCGGAGCTGAACATGTTTGAGTCTCAGAGCCAGGAGTACAAGTACGAGATCGATCGCCTGAGCCTGGAGCTGCAGAACATACAGAAGAAATACCACCTGCAGAAACGCAAGGAACAGCAGACTAAGTATGCAGTGTCAACTAGCGCCGTGGCAGGCTAGCTCCAGGGTTACAGGGTTACAGTCTTTTCAAATCGTAGCTCCTCAAGAGTATTTATGGTATGATCTACATCACAGCCAAAGTCTTACACGATTACCATGGAGGGGAGTGGGGGGAGGCAAAGGGACTGTGAGATGGAATTCCAGAGGGTCGAGACAGAAATGCTGAAGGCCTGATCGCCGATGGTGTGGCGGGTGGGGTGGGGGACATGGAGCAGCCCAATAGTATTCTGAGCGGAGGGAGCGGATAGGTCAGTATGGTGTATATATTTACAGTGTCTGTCTTGCATCAGAAGCACAATGACAATCCCCTTATACCTGGTACTGTGCCTTTCAAGTAAGGATGTAATCTCGAAGCATTTCACCGTGTTTTACTGTTAAGTGTAGTGACTGCATGTTTTGTAGGCGAACATGGAATTTTTTTTAAAGAATGTGGTGACTATGATAGATTCTATGTGGGTTCCTCTGTATTCTTATCCCTGTCATAATTCTCACTATTGCAAACTTGCTGAGCTGGATTCTCGCTTACAGTGAGTGAACATGCAGTTACATCGCGCAGACTCGTTTTTCATTGTATGTGACAGCGAGCACCAGGAACCTCCTGTCTGACCTCACGCTATGTGTATTATTAATGTGTATATGTTCTATCGCGTGGGAAATTAAGAGCCAAGACTAGTACATGCTCATTATCTGTATTGTTTCAGTCAGCCGTGCTTAAGAGTCTCCGAAACAGACTGGAACAACTGTGTTTAGCTGCACAACACTAAAGGCTTCCATACTGACTTTAGGGGATATTTACAACACCAACAACAAATTACATTTACACACATGGGGAGGATGTCCAAAGGCTCTGGACAGTCAAGGATTTGGACCTGAGCTGGGTGTTGGGATCAGGAGGGGTGGAGTAAGGGAGAGTAGGCGTAGGAGGGTGACTGAAGGCCCGGTCGAAGAGGAGGGTCTTGAGACGTACCTTGAAGGAGGCAAGAGAGGTAGCGAGGCATAGGGACTGTGGGATGGAGCTCCAAAGGGTGGGGGCAGAGAGGCTGAAGGCTTAACCACCTATGGTGGGCTGGGCCGAGCGGGAGACGCAGAGAAAGCCAGAGTCCGCTGAGTGAAAGGGATAGGGCAGTGTGGTATATTCACTTACAGTGTCTGTCTTACATCAAAAGCACAGTGATCGTCCTTACATTTGGTACTGTGCTTTTCAAGTCAGGAAGACGTCTCAAAGTGCTTCACTGTGTGTTAATTTTAAGTGTAGTGACTTCATCTTTTGTAGCTGGAAATGAAGATCAACTACGCTTAGTGCAATTGACTGCCGTGTTTTGCCCACAAAATACACAGTCACTCCACTTGATAGTATATCCTGTGAAGCACTTAGAGATGTCTCAACGTGATAAGGTGCTATATCAAATGCAAGGATCATTAGTATTATTATAAAATACACAACGTAAAGACAGCTAGGTATGAGAGGTCACAAGTCTTGTCAGTTTTAGGCCAAGGGGCAATGTCACTAAATTAATCCCAATCCTGTGTCTTTAGAGCTAAGTGGATGGAGTATGTGCAGTGAGGTCCTCATCACGCTGGTTACATGGCGTATTGCTGCCCTGTCTGACGCCTCCGCCCACCAGCTGTGGAGCTTATAATATTGCACTGGCGTCTTGGAAGCTCTTGAACCCTCTGTGCTATAATTCTTTTTAATTCAATCGTTTTCCTCTGCTGTGTAATCCTGAGATCACTGCTTCTCCATTCCAACTGCAAACGGCTGTTGCCACCAACCTACGGGAGCACATTTTGGCTTCTTGCTGGTAGTTCTTCACTGAAATTGCCTGTAGTGATCATGCTGGCTCACGATTGTACCCATGGAACTCATTGCTAAGGCAGATGCCAGCAGTCTTCTCAGCCAACGCAGAGCTGAAAGGATGATGAGGTGCGCTCCAAGACAGACAGATGCCAACCTGTCCCGTAGCTTTCCTGCCACCCCTAGTGGGACCTGGCATTTCAGACGTGCTTTGTGTGCGTGTGCTCCTACACGCGTGCCTTCTGACAGCACGTGGGACAGCGACCGATGCACAACGTCTGTTGTTCCAGCTGATCTGGAGGCGGAAACCTGTTGAGTCACCAATAATGGTAATAATAAGCCTTGCATTTGTCACGAATGTGTATTTTGCAGGAGGTGGTAGCAGCCAATTTGAGGCAGAGCAATGTCCCCGAAACAGCCGTGAAGTCAACAGTCAATTTTACTGGGGAGATAGTCTGCCAGGACGCTGGGGGAAACTCCTTTCTCTTTTCAAATAGTGTCACAGGATCTTTAATGTCCAGCTGAACAGGCAGATGAAGACCTCGATAGAGTATCTCACTGAAGGATGGGACCTCCAACAATACAGCGCTCCCCCAGCGCTGCCCTGGAGTGTCAGCCTAGACTGTGAGCTCAAAATCCCGATGTGGGGCTTGAACACACAATCTGCTGACTTAGAGGCGAGAGCGCTACCGACTAGAACTATAAAACCATAAACCAGTAATTTTTAATGAAGAAAGCTGGCCCGCTATCCCATAGGTAAACTCAGTCGCCCACTTCACTGTTGTTTATTGGGCATTGATGTGTGCAAATTGGCTGTGATGTGTGAAATGCTTTGATATATTCTGGACATTATAGGTGCTATACCAAGCCATGGATTATTTTTTATTATTATGTATTATTATTATTAAGCCTTAATGAAAACTACAGCTTAAAGCCAAAGGCTTTGTCTGATCATTGGAAAAACACTTTGATCCATGATATCCATTATACTACAACACAATAATGTTAAATAAACACCGCCAGAAAACACTGATCTTTGCACTGGATGAATTAATCAGAGCATCTGGACAGACGGATTGGGGGTGAGAGTAACTGGCTGGCTGCTGCCTTTTTTTACATTTTATTTGTTCTAAAAATTAGTTGCTAAGTTATTCCGTTCCATGTCAGACAGAAGCTGACTATGGGCTTGTTAAGCATATCAGATGGATTGCTCAATTTGAAGGTACAATTCCTTTTCTTACCCGTTTATAATTGCAAAACCACTCTTTTATCTATGATGCCTGCAAATCACGCCTGTGTGCTCCCTATGTTTCCTTTGTTGTTTGTACAGCTAAATCAGACCACCGCCAGTCCCCCTTCCCGCTATCTATGGAATTTCCCCAGTTAAAGCGTGAGTTTCCGGACAAAATATCTTCCGGAGATTAAAAGTAACAGATGTTGCTCAAAAACATCTATTTGGAGTCCTGCAGCATAGTGGTTAGCACACTCGGCTCGCGAGCGAGAAGACCCTGGTTCGATAAATGCCTCTAAGGGGCGAAACCTTAGGCAAGTTTCCTTATTCCACATGCTTCTGTTTACCTAGTAATAGCTGTGAACCTGGTTGATTGACAGATCGCTTTCCAGGGTAATAATCCTTTTCAAAAATAAAAAAAATTGTTCACACAATCCACGACTATTCGTGGGACACTGCTGTGGCACAATTGGTTGCCGAGTTTCGTCTCACAAAATACACAGTTAATTCACTTTAAAATATATTCTGTGAAGCACTTTGAGACATCTCGAAGACGTGATAAGGCGTTATATCAAATGCAAGGATTGTTGTTATTGGTTGAAACCCTCGTGAGGAGGTCCAAGGTTTGACTTTGGACAGGAGGAAACTTTGAAGCTTTGCCATTTCAGGAACGAGTGTGAAGGAGCTTGTTGTGCTGCTGAGTTGCTATGGCAACCATGTAGGGACGACACGGAAGGGGAGAAGTTCAACAGCTATTGGCTTTCTTTCTTGGAGTTAAAGGGATTCTGACGGACTTTCATTGTATTAGTGTTTAGGTGTCTGCCTGGCTCGGTCGCTAGCACCCTGAGTCAGAAGATTGTGGGTTCATACCCTCACGTTTGGGCTTTGAACTCACCTAGTTGAGTCTGACGCTCCAGTGCAGTGCTGGGGGGTGCGTTTCATTGTTGGAATTGACGTCCTCTGGATCTCCATCCCGCAGTCCCTCCACCTCGCCCCCTCCCTTGCCTCCTTCAAGACCGTGCTTTCCATTACCCTGCTTTTCCCCCCGCCCTCCCCAATCCCGACCCCGAGCTCAGGTCCAAAACACGGACAGTCCAGCGCCTTGGGACGTCCTCCCAACTGATAACCGCTATACAAATGTAATTTTGTTGTTGTTGTTCAGACGTAAAACCAAGGTCCCGTCTGCCTCTTCGGGTGGACATTAAAGATCAGATGGCACTATTGAAAAGGAGTTCTAGCCAACAATCCCCCAGATAAAAATAGTCAGTCACCCCTGGCTGTTTTTGTCGGACATTGACGTGCACAAATTGGCTGCCTCGATCAGCAACAAGTACACAGTCGTTGCATTTTACAGTCAATTCTGTGAAGTTAAATTTGCTGTTGATTTCCCGCGGCACTAAGCAGCCTGATAGAGTGGCTGGTGGTTTGCCTGTGAGTTTAGGTGGGGTGGGGAGGGGTGGAGAGTCAAGCCAGTGTTGGGAGTAAATGACCAGACCAGGCATTGCTGTTTGACTCAGGCCAGCAGTCGTTATAAATAAAAGCATAAATAACCTCTTTGCGATGGAGCAATTGGCTGCGTTTTGCCCACAAAATACACAGTCAATCTACTTTACAGTATATTCCGTGAAATGCGTTAAGACGTTCAACCATGTGATAAGGTGCTATATCAAATGCAAGGATTATTATTATCATTATTATTACTTCCCAACGATCTATCGCCCGTTTAACCGCTGCGATCAATTCTATGTCTGGAACTTTTTTGGGGGGCAGTGTGTTCGTGAAGGGGTGCTGTCTAAATGCAAGCTGTTGCTGTTGTTGTTCCATGAGCCACTGAGTGAAGAGATGTCTCCCTGATCTTGGCTCTGAGTCTCGCAGGTCTCATTGATCCTGTCAGCCACATGCTGGGAGGCTCTTTTGCTGCATTTCTCTTTCCCACAAAT